AATTGTCCATATCTTTGAGCCTAATGATAATTTTCTAAGTAGTTGGCCCTGACGAAAATTATTCAGGGTGGTTTTCAAAATAGGTTTGGTCAGTTTAGGGACTCCACGTGCGCTGATTTTTTTTTTTTTTTTTTTGCTGAACTGACGGTGTTGACCATTATTATCGTTTAGGACTGTTGGCAGTTCTGAATATTTATCCGTGTTGGTAATCCTGAACATTCTTCTCTGTTGGCAGTCCTGAGTATTTATCTGTGTTGGTAATCCTGAAATTCTCTGTTGGCAGTCCTGAGTATTTATCTGTGTTGGTAATCCTGAAAATTCTCTGTTGGCCGTTCTGAGTATTCTAATGTGTTGGTAATCCTGAACATTCTTCTCTGTTGGCAGTCCTGAGTATTTATCTGTGTTGGTAATCCTGAAAATTCTCTGTTGGCCGTTCTGAGTATTCTAATGTGTTGGTAATCCTGAACATTCTTCTCTGTTGGCAGTCCTGAGTATTTATCTGTGTTGGTAATCCTGAAAATTCTCTGTTGGCAGTTCTGAGTATTCTAATGTGTTGGTAATCCTGAATATTCTTTTCTGTTGGCAGTTATAAATGTTCATTTTCTTTTGGCAGTTGCGAAGGCTCATTTCTGTTGGCAATCTTGTATATTCATTTTTGTTGGCGATCCTGAATATTCCTCTCTGTTGGCAATCCTGAATATTAATTTCTGTTGGCAATCCTGAATATTTATTTCTGTTTATGTTTTCACTTTTATTTATTGTTTTGTATCTAGGATTTTTTTAACTGTTATTTTTTCTTGTTATTTTTTTATTTTCCTTTCCTCGCTCGACTTTTCATGTTTCTTTAATTTGTTTCTCGTCTTTTATCTCCTCTCTCTCTCTCTGCCACACACACACACACACACACACACACACACACACACACACACACACACACACACACACACACACACACACACACACACACACACACACACATACACACACACATACATATGAGTGTGTACGTGAGTCTCTGTGCGTTTGTTCTTTTTGGGTGATGACAAAAACGATTTTTTTTATTTACATTTTATTTTTTTAGAGAATGTATTCTCCGATGTTAACCATCTTTCTTTTGTTTTTTTACGATTTTCTGTACATTTACATTTATCATTATTATTATCATTTTTTATTTTTTTAAAGGTTTTCTATTTGTTTGTTTGTTTTTGTTTTTCTCTTGATCGTATTTTTTTTTTCGCTCGGTAGATGATGATGATGATGATAATACATATAATGCTTTATAATGCGTGTAATTTCCATGTCATTATCTCATTTCCTTACATACCATATTCTTAAAAAAAATAAATGACACACACACACACACACACATACACACACACACACACACGCACACACACACAAACATACACACATACTCATTGCTTTTATATCTGAACCCGATGAAATTTGCCCTATTTATTTGAGCTTAATGAAAATAAATGAAAATTGATCATGTATTTGAGCATGAAAAATTGTCCATGTATTTGAGCCTGATGAAAATGAGTGAAAATTGATCATGTATTTGAGCTTATTGAAGATTGTCCATATATTTGTGCCCGATGAAATTTGTCAATGTAAGTGAACCTAAGGAAAATCGTCCCTTATTTGAGCCTGATGAAAATTGTTCATTATTTGAGCCTGATGAAAATTGTCCATTATTTGAGCCTGATGAAAATTGTCCATTATTTGAGCCTGATGAAAATTGTCCATTATTTGAGCCTAATGAAAATTGTCCATTATTTGAGCCTAATGAAAATTGTCCATTATTTGAGCCAGATGAAAATTGTCCATTATTTGAGCCTAATGAAAATTGTCCATTATTTGAGCCCAACGAAAATTGTCCATTATTTGAGCCTGATGAAAATTGTCCATTATTTGAGCCTAATGAAAATTGTCCATGCATTTGGGCCTGATGAAAATTGTCCATTAGTTGAGACCAATGAAAATTGTCCATTATTTGAGCCTGATGAAAATTGTCCATTATTTGAGCCTGATGAAAACTGTCCATTATTTGAGCCTGATGAAAATTGTCCATACATTTGAGCCTAATGAAAATTGTCCATGCATTTGGGCCTGATGAAAATTGTCCATGCATTTGGGCATGATAAAAATTGTACATGGATTTGGGCCTGATGAAAATTGTCCATGCATTTGGGCCTGATGAAAATTGTCCATGCATTTGAAAATTGTCCATTATTTGAGCCTAATTAAAATTGTCCATTATTTGAGCCTGATGAAAATTGTCCATTATTTGAGCCTAATGAAAATTGTCCATGTATTTGAACCTAATGAAAATTGTCCATGCATTTGGGCCTGATGAAAATTGTCCATGCATTTGGGCCTGATGAAAATTGTCCATGCATTTGGGCCTGATGAAAATTGTCCATGCATTTGGGCCTGATGAAAATTGTCCATGCATTTGAGCCTGATGAAAACTGTCCATGTATTTGGGTCTGATGAAAATTGTCCATGCATTTGAGCCTGATGAAAATTGTTCATGCATTTGGGCCTGATGAAATTTGTTCATGCATTTGGGCCTAATGAAATTTGTCCATGTATTTGGGCCTGATGAAAATTGTATATGGATTTGGGCCTGATGAAAATTGTATATGGATTTGGGCCTGATAGAAATTGTCCATGCATTTAGGCCTGATAAAAATTGTATATGGATTTGGGCCTGATGAAAATTGTCCATGCATTTGGGCCTGATGAAAATTGTATATGGATTTGGGCCTGATGAAAATTGCCCATGTATTTGGGCCTGATGAAAATTGTCCATGCATTTGGGCCTGCTGAAAATTGTATATGGATTTGGGTCTGATGAAAATTGTATATGAATTTGGGCCTGATGAAAATTGTATATGGATTTGGGCCTGATGAAAATTGTCCATGCATTTGGGCCTGATAAAATTGTATATGGATTTGGGCCTGATGAAAATTGTCCATGCATATGGGCCTGATAAAAATTGTACATGGATTTGGGCCTGATGAAAATTGTATATGGATTTGGGCCCGATGAAAATTGTATATGGATTTGGGCCTGATGAAAATTGCCCATTCATTTGGGCCTGATAAAATTTGTATATGGATTTGGGCCTGATGAAAATTGTCCATGTATTTGGCCCTGGTGAAAATTGTCCATTTAGTTGAGCCCAATGAAATTTGTTCTTGTATTCGAGCCTAATGAAAATTGTCTATTATTTGAGCCTAATGAAAATTATCATGCATTTGAAAAAAGGACAAATTGTCCAAATATTTGAGCCTAATAGATATTGTGAAAATTGTCCATATCTTTGAGCCTAATAGATATTGTGAAAATTGTCCATATCTTTGAGCCTAATGATAATTTTCTAAGTAGTTAACCCTGACGAAAATTATCCAGGGTGGTTTTCAAAATAGGTTTGGTCAGTTTAGGGATTCCACGTGCGCTGATTTTTGGCTGAACTTACGGTGTTGACCATTATTATCGTTTAGGACTGTTGGCAGTTCTGAATATTTATCCGTGTTGGTAATCCTGAACATTCTTCTCTGTTGGCAGTCCTGAGTATTTATCTGTGTTGGTAATCCTGAAAATTCTCTGTTGGCAGTCCTGAGTATTTATCTGTGTTGGTAATCCTGAAAATTCTCTGTTGGCCGTTCTGAGTATTCTAATGTGTTGGTAATCCTGAACATTCTTCTCTGTTGGCAGTCCTGAGTATTTATCTGTGTTGGTAATCCTGAAAATTCTCTGTTGGCCGTTCTGAGTATTCTAATGTGTTGGTAATCCTGAACATTCTTCTCTGTTGGCAGTCCTGAGTATTTATCTGTGTTGGTAATCCTGAAAATTCTCTGTTGGCAGTTCTGAGTATTCTAATGTGTTGGTAATCCTGAATATTCTTTTCTGTTGGCAGTTATAAATGTTCATTTTCTTTTGGCAGTTGCGAAGGCTCATTTCTGTTGGCAATCTTGTATATTCATTTTTGTTGGCGATCCTGAATATTCCTCTCTGTTGGCAATCATGAATATTAATTTCTGTTGGTAATCCTGAATATTTATTTCTGTTGGCAATCCTGAATATTTATCTTTGTTGGCAATCTTGAACACTACCAACAGAGAGGAGTGTTCACGACTGCCAATAGAGAGGAATCCTGAACAATCCTCTCCGTTGGCAATCCTGAACACTACCAACAGAGAGGAGTGTTCACGATTGCCAACAGAGAGGAATCCTGAACAATCCTCTGTTGGCAAACTTGAACAATTTTCTCTACGTTGGCAAACCTGAACAATTTTCTCTATGTTGGCATTTCCGAACACGTTGCACTGCACTTGCTGACGGAATCTCCTCCAAGTACAGATTATCGCGATGACTTTTAATGACGGTTAACATTTTGTGATACGATTATTCCAACTGATAAAGTTATCTCTCTTTGTGGTGGGTCGGAGTATCGCCAACCAATCTCCTGTTTAGATATCGCTTTCGTGGATAAACTGATATCTGGTTTCTTGTGTGATTCTTATATGTTAATTCAACTCTTCGTTTGTTTTTTCAATGTGTGATTTATTTCTGGAATGAACGTAGTATATTTTTTCTTACGTATGTCTTTTTTGTTCTCTCTCTCTCTCGTCGATTTAACTTTTGTATATTTTTTTTCATATTAACTATATATGTATATTATATATTCACTCGAATGCCTGGAGTCGATAAACTTTCTATAACAGTTTCTCAAATAAAAACAAAACATTCTCTATGGTCATCTTCCGAACTTCAAATCTGAACGAAGAGATTAGAGAATGATAAATAAATAGATAAATAAACAGGATATGAAGGAGAGGAAAAGAATGCAAGATTTTTCACTTGATGAAGGAGGTCGTGATGAAAACGTAGGTTAGCCAAGGCGGACGCGTTGATAAGCAGGTGCATTAAACTACTAATGCCTGTTGTTTCGTTGTTTTTCTTGTTTTATTAAACTCATTTTGTTTCGTTTTTGTTTTTAATTCTTTTTTTTTGCGTTAGCTCTCATTAGTGTTTGTTTGTTTCACTAATTGGGTATTCCCGATGAGCTAAAAAAAAGAATTATATCTCTTCGTTAATTCTGTCTGAGTTTAAACAACTAACGCACTGTTGTTTCGTTGCTTTTTCTTGTTTTGTTAAATTCATTTTGTTTCGTTTTGAATTCATTTAATTATTTTGCGTTATCTCTCATTGGTGTTTGTTCATTCCACTTACTGGGTATTCCCAGTGAACTATTTTTTTTCCTCTCTTTCTATCTCTTCGTTAATTCTCTCTGAGTAATTCATCTTCGCTAACGATTACCGGGTAATTCTTGTTCGCTAATTACGCTGGGTTAAACCCTCTTCGTTGATTCTTGGCTTCGTAATTCGCGTGAAATATCCTTGTCATATATTCACTTCTCCGAATTCGTTGGAGGAGCTTCCATGTTCACCCTAATTGAGGAAGAAAAAAATATATGTATAAGTATTTTTATAATAAGTAGTTGTAGTGATGTTAAAGTGAAAGTGCGGAGAGTCATGGGGTTAATGGTATTAATAATTCCGTTAGAATAGGATAGAGTTATGATAGCTGCGTTTACGTGCTTGAAAAGTTTTACGTTTTAATTTACTGACAAATCTTAAAATCACGCTATTTATTGCATCCTGCGTGCCCATGAGAACAGGGAAAACTCTTGGCGTGGGTGCAAACTCCCACTCACGTTATCCAGACAGACAAGAAGATGAAAATACACACGTATCTGACAGGAAAAAAATGCGATAAGCCCCAGCCCTGCAGACATCTCAAGATAAGGTAGATAAGATAAGGCTCGTGTCTACAACCGTGTTCTTCGGCGCCCTCCGTCACGCGCCCAATGGGGAGCCCGCGATCCCAACCCACCAATCACGGAGCGAGGAGGAGATGACGTCACTCACCAGCTCGAATGCGATTGGTCCGCCTCGATGGTCCACCCGGCCTTGAGGATCGGCGGTGGCACCCCTTCAGTGCCAGCATTTAAATGTGGCTTGAGCGGCTCTCCTCAGTCAGCGAGATTCAGATGGAGTGAGTGCCTGGTCAGCAGTCATCCCAAGTCCTAGCTCAGCTTTTTGGAGAGTCGAGTTTCTTTCGTGAAGCTGAGGAGACATCGAGAATGGATCCATCCGCACACTGGCCGTGGGTCGTCATCTCAACAGCTGATGATGGGGATTCGTAAAAAGATAATTAAAATATCTCAGCATTACCCTTCGGAACACCACAAGGTAAGCTTCAAGACCTTGAGTAAAAGTTATTCGAACTGATTTGATATGAAAGAATCTTTTATATTGTTAGATATTCATTCATTTATTTACATCTCACTCCACCTAAATGCAAATCCATTTGTACTGATTTACATGGATGGATTTAAAAAAACATTCAAATTATTCATTCATTTTACATCTCATTCACCAACAACAACAAGCAAATGAAAAACATATTAAGTGTTGCTAACAATGTATCGTCAATTGGCAGTGGTGACGATGACGGGACCAAGCTCGGTATGCGACCTGACCTGCCCTCCAACCCGTGAACAACCGAACAAATGACGATGAACAAATGAACAAATTCTCTGACCTCACACGACCCCATGACCTGCCAGATGACCCCTGTCACCTCCTCAAGAAGATGCAGTGACCCCAAAGTCGACTGTGTGATCACTTATATATTTAATACTATATAGTATTTTTCTCTGCATTCGCCGTTGGCAATGCTGCTCGCCATTAATAATTTCCTTTATTAATATCTAAGTTTTCAAGTAATGATGTCTTTTTCTTGTATTTTCTTTATAGAATTTAAGGATTTTTTTATATCTCGAATATATTTCATGCTTTTTATAACTCCATTAGTATATTCTATAAGAAGAGATTAGTGTCATTAAGCTATCGATCTCTCGTATCATTAAGATATTATTTTTTATACAAGTCTTCTGTAATATATATACCTATCTATTTGGCATACATATGTCTTGTGTGTCTGTCGGTCTCCCATCATGACTGCCACACATTCATAATTTGATCCATATATTTGTGGAGCCTAATTATAACAGTCGTCGTTATATTTATTATTATCTTTCTTAATATCTTCTCTTGTTCTTTATTATCTAATCGCTCTGTTTATCTGTTCTATCCTTACCCATGAGGATAACAGAAATAATAATACTAATTTTCCGGGATAATTCAAAGGTTACCATTATCGTATAGATTTTATTTTTTTCGACTTTTAATACTTGGATATCTTTTATTTTTGTATTTTTTGAAAAATGTTTTGAAATAATCGAATTTTTGGATTCAGAGATGTCTCCATGTATATTTTTTTTTGTTACTAATGGATAAAGTTTATAATTTTATCTTTCTTTAGTTTTGTTAATATATATATATACATACACATATATATATATGTATATACATATATATATATGTACATACATATATATTATCACTGTTGTTTTTTTTAAATGCTTAATCTTTAAGTTGATATCTTTAAGTATGTCATACATTGTTACTATTTCTTATATTTACCAAGTTTACAATGCATTTAATATGTATTTAAAAAAATATAGTTTGATCCATGTATCCATAGAGCCTGAAGAGAAAATACAATTGCCAAAATATATCGGTTTATGATACCTATAATTTCTTCTCTTCTCATGATGTAATATTTTTAAAGATTATCTATTTTTCAAACATTTTTATCATGAATTTGCTGATGTATTTATGCGCCTTCTGGCACTGTGATAAGAGTCTGTGATAATAAAACTCGAAAGCTATAA